CCCCCCCCAAATCAGTTTTCAAATGGTCCGTCCCTTAACATCCCTCGTCACGTGAAAAATCCTTCACCTAGTTTGGAGGGTTTTAATATGCATTATCTTATTTTTGTTGCCCGTTTCCATGGCAACCAATATGGCATTTTTTGTTTGTTTTCCACTTTAAATTGATTGATCGCTTGCCCGAAAGCAAGTGATTTACATAGTGCCCTTTGTCGTGTACTACATAACATATTGGTGCTGTTATAATTTGGTGATTGCTGGTGCTCATTGCCATGCCAAAATTGTGATGAAGATTTTCAACTGAAATACTATTTTCGAACTTGAAAAGAAGTCAACTTCTTCGCTCTTAAATCCTTGCTTTTTAACAAAAACAAATGGTTGGAAAAAGCTCCAGATCTTCATATAAAAGAAATAGGGAAGGGACTGTATCGTGATGCCAAAGATACAAGAAAGACAAGGCTTTAAATGTCTCAAATTCATCACGTAGTGAAGTATCAGACACTCAGGCGATCTTGATGTTTAAAATATTGTTGGAACCTCGAGAAAGAAAATGCGAGGGCACAGTAAGAATGCAGAGTCTGAGTATATGATTGAGAATCCTCAAAACTGTCAAGAATACTGGGTTATATTAGTCTGAACTGTGTGTCCACAGCTGTGTCAAGTATGCAACACATTTGTGGTGTACTGGTGTTCAAAGGTAAAATTCCCTTCAATATTTTTTTTATGTTTTCAATGCACTTACCTTTTAATTTAATACTGAAGGAGTGACATATGAGGCAGCGGCTTTCTAGCTACTTCTCACAGGGATCCTATAGGTTATTAGAACTTACAAATAAGACCTTAACTTTGTAAGATGATGAAATATTTAACATTAACCAGTAACGAAAACTTTAAACTCTATTTTCTCATTTCGCACCATTTCAGTGGTTAAGAAAAGATATCTTGAGTAGATTACAACGAATTTGGCTGAAATTTTTAGTGATTGTTCCACTCAGTCATCTTTGTGTTTTAAGCATAGGAATTTGTTTCATGGCAAATATTTTTAAAGTTATGGCAGTTTCAATATTTTATAATTCAGTGCTAAAATCTGATTGGCCGTAACTTTTTCATTATTTAATGTATCCAAATTCTCTATGCTTAAAACAGTAATCCCTATGTGTTAGTTAATTTGAGATATAAAAGAGCCAAATCATTCAAATACAGAATGTGCAATCTTTTCTTGAATATAGTCTAGTCGTAAATTTGGCAATCGGTCCAGAGCCACCTTAATGTGGCTTTTTGTGTGCAGTAAATAGCTTTTTTAGTTTCCCCATGTCATAAGCTTTCATCCAATATATAGTTTGTGCGGGTTTTGATGTAAACTTAGTGAACTATGACGTTTTTCCTTACACCATATTTTTTAGGTTAACTCCCTCCTTATTAAGTTCACTGAAAAACATTCACCTTAAAATTGTTGTAAGGGGCGTACCATTAGAAAAGTAATGGATGGGGACTTTTTCAACTTGTACATATATTTTTAAAAAATTTTTTGCTTGTATCGATAATTTTTTTAAATATAATCCCTTGCACAAATGTATTTGTAAGTTCTGACGGAAATTTAGGAAACTTTGCCCCCTCCCCGGAAAAAGTGAATTTCCACCACTGTAGATATACAGAAGTTGAACAAGAGAAGAGGTTATTTCGCTGGCCTCTGAGTGACAAAACCTAACAAAGCAACGGTTTTACTAACACTAACCCTATTCCACAAACATCAACTCTAACCCATACCCAACCCTACTCCATGTTTGTTTCTAAACCAATCTTGAAGAAAATTTTTTTGACAAAATGTCATTCTGAGGCCAGCGAAAGAACTTCTTCCTTGTGAGCTCTCGACCAATGAGATCGCTCTATTTTCCATCGTGTTTATATCTGGACAGAAAAATTTGCATTCAACAGAAAATAAATCGAGAAAAATATTAAACTTTTCTTGCAAAATTTCAAGTGTAGTAGTACTACTGCTAAAGATCTGGTGATATCTGCAAAAATCTCTGAGGTGAACGTTATTTTTAATGTTATTTTGACTGTTTGAAGTTAGTCGACTCCCTGCGACGTGTTGACTCAAGTCTAAATATGTTTACAAATATCTAGAATTCCCATGGTTCGATTTTCTTCATTTTTGGTAGTCGTCAAGACAAAAGTATAAGCTTTAAATTTGCTGGCATGATCCTGGTGATCCCCTGGCATTTTTCGAGATATTGGCCGTTGAAGTGACTGTTGAGTATTGCCAACTCGAAGTTTGCTAAAATGGCGTCTAAATTTTGGAAGGAATTTGCACCATCAAAGATGATATTATTAATGAATTCTTGTTAAAGTGACAAAATATTATGCACCGATCAATTCGAAGGTGTAACATCCCCCCCTGGCATATACCCGGGCATTTGACTTTGTGGATTTTGCAATGATAAAATCCCCCACCCCAAGTGTTGAGTTCAATATAAAACTGTATGTTATCCAAATATTAGTATGACATAATACTGAGAGACAAATGCATCATGGGATTGTTGTGTTGTTGTGTTGTTAGTTGAACTCACTGAGCTTTACTAAATAATATAGTATAGCTCAGTGGTTGAACTACCTCGTGAAAGTAACTTACTGTACAAAACTACATTTGTAATAAACGAGAAAATAAAGAGTGATTTCATTACAAATACGGTGTTCTAAAGTCATGGCTTCAACAGGTTATGGGCCCAGCAGAGAATCACGCTGGTCAAGGTTGACTTTCGATGGAAACGAAAGCAATTACGAACTGTGGGAAGTGAAATTCCTTGCGCACACGAGGTTATTAAAACTAAAGGATACTATCCTGCTGTCAGAAGAAGAGGGTAACACAACAAAGAATGAAGAATGCTACGCCGAGCTTATGCAGTGTTTGGATGACACCAGTCTGTCATTGGTAATGAGGGATGCTACCGACGATGGCCGAAAGGCTTTACAAATACTCCGAGATCATTATGCAAATCAAGGCAAACCAAGAATCATCACACTCTACACTGAGCTAACGTCACTTGAAAAAAAACTTCATGAGACAGTCACAGATTAGTTAATAAGAGCCGAGAAGGCAATAACAGCGCTTAAGAACGCCAAAGAAACGTCAAGCGATGGGCTAATAATTGCTATGATCTTAAAGAGGCTGCCTGATTCATATAAACCATTCTCGATACATGTGACCCAAAGTGCAAGTGAGATAACGTTCGCGAAGTTTAAGAGCATGTTGAGGAGCTTCGAAGAAACGGAAAAGCTCAACACCAAACCGAAAGTTGATCAGGTAATGAAAGCTGAGTTTCCTTCGCAAACAATGCCATGTTATGGCTGCGGGAAAAGAGGGCATTTAGTCTGTGAGTGCCCCGCTAAGAGCGAGAAGAAGTGGTGTAACTATCACAAAAGTACAACACACTCGGATAGCACCTGCAGAAGTCAGCAAAAGAGCAAAGACCAAGCCAAACAGGTGTCAGGGAAAGAAAACGCCTCTAAAGATGAACATTCATTTGCATTCAAAGTTAACGACGAAGCAACGGGGAAAATCAATCGAATGGGAATGTTGGTTGACACAGGTGCCACTTCTCACATTGTTACTACTGATATTTTAAAGCAAATAGACATGACATTTAAACCATCAAAACATTTCATTGAACTGGCGGATGGCACACAAGCCAGTAATATTGCATTGAAACGAGGGGATGCTGAAGTGTTTCTGAAAGATACAAATGGAAAATGCGTGGAAACGGTGCTGAAAAACGCCTTATATATACCATCCTATCCTCAAGATATTTTCTCAGTGAAGGCAGCCACATCAAATGGAGCCGAGCTTCGATTTGCCCAAGATTCTGGTGAGCTAACCCTTGAAGATGGTACCATTGTTGAAATTGAAGAACATGGACGGTTGTACTATTTGACTTCCACAGGCAGTCATGAGAACGATAGATAAAGTAAATAGATAAAGTAAATCTCTCATGAAATCCTAGGTCACTGCAATTTTGAAGATATTATAAAACTACAGGGGGTAGTTAAGGGCATGAAATTCTCAGGTAAAATGGAATCATCTAGGTTAGGTTGTAATACATGTGTAGAAGGAAAATTTGTTAACTGTTTGAACTGAAAATTTGTAATTTGTTTTAATAAGAGAACAAAGACAAGACCCTACTTTAGCCTTACTGAGAAAGTACCTGATCTTTCTAAAATGTGGATCTTTGGATCTGAATGTTTTGCTTACGAACAGGAGCATAAGAAATTAGACTCAAGATGCAGCAAGGGGGTATTTGTACTAGGATACGACAAAAATAGCCCTTCGTACCTAGTGTACTACCCTCAAAATGGGGAAATCATAAAACATCGACTCATTAGATTCATCAAGAAAGGTAGTGTAGAACAGCACACACAAACTGATGAGTCCAGCAGGGACTGTGATGTACATGAGAAATCTGACCATGATACTAGATCAGACTTAGTATGAGCCTCCCTGTTTTAAGTGCACTGCTGCCAATTACAGTGCCTGATGAGGAGCCTAGGGATAGTGAGGGAAGGCATCACGACCATATTGAGAATGACAGTGAGACAAAACGGTACCCTCAAAAGGAACCCTCCCAGATACTTAGAAGAGGACACCCTTCTCCCTAAGAATGCCGATTATGCCCACATTAGTGTAGATTACTGCTACAAAGTTTGTGGATTACCACAAAATTACACAGAAGCCATGGGATCACCTCAAGCTAGGGAGTGGGAGCAAGCAATGAAGGAAGAGATCAGCTCTCTGAAAGAAAATGATACTTACGAATTATCAACTTTACCAGAAGGTAAAGCTTCAGTAGGGGGAAAATGGGTGTACACAACCAAACAAGATCAGAATGGCATAGAGACCTTTAAGGCCAGATATGTAGCGAAGGGTTACAGCCAGGTAAAGGGTATAGATTATCAAGAAACTTTTGCCCCGACAGCCAGTATTACTTCAATTAGGGTCTTAATGCAGTTAGCAGTAAAACATGATCTTATTGCCCACGAGATGGACGTTAAAACTGCATATCTGCATGCCCCTATTACTCAAGAGTTATACATAGACCAGCCACAAGGGTTTGAAGAGGTTTCAGAGAGTGGTGAGAGGTTAGTATATAGGCTAAAGAAATCGCTATATGGTCTAAAACAATCAGGTAGAAATTGGAACGTATTGTTACACGAGCATTTCGCAAATGACGGTTTTGTCAGAAACCATGCTGATCACTGTGTATATAAGAAAGAAGTTGATGATAAAATTGTTATCGTCATTGTTTGGGTTGATGACCTAATTATAGCTTCAGATAGTATGCAGTAAATGGAATAATTTAAAGAAAGTATGAAGACACAATTTAAGATGAAAGATCTAGGTAGAATCACTTTCTTCCTTGGAATGGATTTTAAGCAAAGCAAGGGTGAAATAAAAGTTAATCAGAAAAGATTCATTCTTAAAATACTAGAAAGATTTGGAATGATAGCCTGCAAGCCCAGGTTAACCCCATGTGAGCAACGATTAGAATTTAACTGTGGTGAATTGACCAACGCCAGACAGTATAGAGAAATTATAGGAAGCTTAATTTATGCCATGACCTGTACAAGGCCTGATTTAAGTTGGATTGTAAGCAGACTGTCTCAAACTCTGTCAAACCCCAGAACGGGAGATTTAATTGCTGCCAAACATGTCCTAAGGTATCTAAAGGGTACCGTGGATTATGAACTCTGCTTTAACAAATCTGATGCTGACTTACAGCTCACTGCTTATAGTGATTCAGATTGGGCCTCTTGCCTGGAAGACAGGCGAAGTACTACAGGTTACTGTTGTACTCTAACTGAAGGAGGACCACTGATTTCATGGAAGTCGAGAAAGCAACCACCGGTTGCCATTTCCACTTGCGAAGCTGAATATGTAGCTTTAGCAAATACAGCTCAAGAGTGTTTGTATCTAACTCAATTGTTAAACGGTATGTATAAGAAAGTACATCAGAGTATGAAGGTAAGTGTTGATAACCAAGCGGCAATTGCACTAAGTAAGAACCCAGTTAACAGACAACGTTCTAAGCATATTGACATAAAGTACCTCTTTGTACGTGAAATGTATGTTAAAGGCATGATAGATATTGTATATTGTCCTACACAAGATATGGAGCTGATATCCTAACAAAGCCACCCACAAAATGTAAACTAGATAATTTTAAAAGTATCGTGTTCGGTTTTGTAATTAGTTGATATTCTGATAACAAGTGAGGGTGTTGAGTTCAATATAAAACTGTATGTTATCCAAATATTAGTATGACGTAATACTGAGAGACAAATGCATGATGGGATTGTTCTGTTATTGGTTGAACTCCCTCGTGAAAGTAAACTTACTGTACAAAACTACATTTGTAATAAATGTGAAAATAAAGAGTGATTTCATTACAAATACGGTGTTCTAAAGTCATGGCTTCAACAGGTTGGTTGAAGTCCATGACACCGGGATACTCAAATGCGAAGAACGAGTAACGAATTATCAGCCAATATATCTTGGGGGAGTAGCGTTTGAGGACAAGCTTATTTCTCATGTCCACAATCAGATCATGCATCTCGGTATTTCGAATACAATGGCGACTCTTCGAGAAACGTGGTGGATCCCAAAGTTACGCGAGAAAGTGAAGAAAGTCATCAACAAGTGTAACGTTTGCAAATATATTCGGCAAAACCGTTTGAAGCCCCAATCACAGCGAAAATACCAAGTTTTAGAACGGAAGGTGACCGACCATTTGAAGTGACCGGCGTGGACTTCGCAGGACCGCTGCACTATAAAATTACTGAGAAAGAAGATAGAAAATGCTATGTTTTAATATTTACACCTTCTGCCCAGCATTAAACACAAACAAACATTCAATAACATTTTTCGATACACCAATAAAACTTTGGTATATTCATTTAAACGAGCAGAAAATCATTAACATTTATTAATTTTCAATTACATGAATTGTTCACTTAAGAATAAAGGTCAATTTCAATAGCATTTACACAAGTTCAATAAGCATAACTAAACAGTCAATACGAACAAAAGCAGGGGCGGATCTAGGGGTGATCAGAGCGATCACGCGACTAAGGTAAAAATTGGCCAGAAAAATAGAAAATTGTTAAATTAAAATAGCAGTCCAGTTATCAAACTTCGCGCAGTGTAATGTATTGAAAGTTTAACAGTCCAGTTTTGAAATATCATTCAGTAGCAAGGCCTTCGAACATAAACGCGCAGAAAAGCGGTCTTATGTATGAGTTTTGCACGCTCTGAGTCAGATTCCAGCCATCTGAATGGCTATCTCGATTTTTGCGCGATCTGTGGGGAGTTCTGATCGCTTTGGGCTCGAATACAGGATATCCGATTGCCTAATTCAAAACAATCCTGAATTCCCATTGGCTGTATTTTTTTGATCGATCATACCGTTCAGGCTTTATTAGTGCTCGGAAAGATCTATATGACGTTTCTGGCCCTTTCTGATCGCTACTTTGTGCTTGACCGCAAATTATTAAAGTTCAATGGGAAGATTTACTATCAGAAATTCTGAACTAATACTAGCCATGTCTGTTAGTATTTACGAAACCGTAAAGCCTGCTTTAGAGAATGGACGATCGATATTGAAGCTGATTTAAACAAGCGAGTAACGGTGTACCTAAGCTTTCTATTAAAGATTTATTGAGCGTTGTGAATAACATAAGCAGCCTTCCTCGCACGAAATTTTGTTGCTGAATCTTACATCCTGAAGTACGTTCGAGAGAAGACAAAAATCTTTTGTACGGCCTTAAGATATATACATATATTCTATTTTAAATAGATGTAGCATTATAACTGTTGTATACTGTGGTGGATTGTGCGTCTGTACGCACATGCTATATTAATATCGGCAGGTACGCGTATAAGACGTATAATAATACGAGACGAAATTTACATAATATTTCCGCAATTTACATAAATACTGCGGCTTAATAAAGGCAGTTTCAGTGTGTTTATACTTTGTTTATGCTTCTTGTGACATGTGGACTTTATATATTAATCAGATAGCTACTTAATAACACTGTATTATTTATACCTATTTTAAACTTTACCGATTTAAACATTAATCAACTTTTAACCTTCGTAGAGCACAATCGATCTCGCGCACAAAATCCAGCCCTAATGTTAAAACACTCCTGCTGTAAAACATCCACCTTTCAGGCATCGTTTTTTAATAGAATAGTAAAGCCTTGGAACTATATATGTAAAATAGCCTCTCCTGAAAAGTTTGCCAATGTAAATATTTTTAAAAGCTTTTTGCACAAGACATACACCGCCTTGGTGAACAGTACTTTTAATGTAGATATGACATGTACTTGGTCGCTCATAAGAGACTGCCCTTGTCACCGTACTTAAGTCCTAAGTTATATATGTATATTCTGTATAGTAAATAAGTTTGTTTTCACTAGTTTAGTTTAGGGGTGGCGCCCTGCATGGGTCTCGTTGTCCCGTTTGCGCTAGCCCCATTGGACGTATACCCTGTAATTTTCTTTGTTTGTATAATAATATGTAACCTTTTATATGTATGTCCAATAAAGCTGTTAAACCCCCCCCCCCCAAAAAAAAACAACTACAAGAACACGACAATGTAGCATGGCCTTGTGTAATACGATCTCCACAACATGTATACAACAGGCAAAATGGATCATGTTGCCATTGTGAATACTTATTCTTGGCGCATTTTCTTCTACGAATGAAACTCGAGGAGCAGTGAATTAAACGCAGAAATTCTCTTCCTGCTTAACAATCAATCAAATGTTTTAAACTGCATCACTATATTGCAAAATTTTTTGACAATTTTTAAAACGTCAAGTCATCCTTGTCAATCTATTTCTCGATGAGAATTGGATATCTGTTTGACATTTGGCGAAAAAGTAATTTTTTAGTTACATTTTTATCGTAAACAGAACACAGTATAAAAATATTAATTTGCTTGGCAACCTCCCCCCGTCCCCCAGTCAAAGTACCCCCTCCCCCAGTCAAAAGTAGCCCTCTCCCCCAATGTTCAGCAACGAAATTTTTGACTAACGTACGAAAAATCCTAGATCCGCCCCTGAACAAAAGGATATTCATTTACACGTTTAATACGTACACACAACGAGAAATACATTTCACGACAACATATTTACTCATTAGCGGAGAAAATATGTTAAGACATCAAGGTAAGTAAGTTTGCATGTGCCTGAACCACGCATTGCATTTTCTGATCGTTATTGTGTCCATGTGCCGTTCAGCAGCAGCTACCAAATCTCTTTTCCTGTATTCCCCTAACCGAATACGTTCTTGACGCGCCATGACTCTGTTATTCATCTCCAATTGGATTTCAGGTCGTGAAATACCGTTTTTGATTGCGGCTTTCAACGCACTTATGGCATTCTCGACGATGTTGAGAAAAGGGGAATATGGTGGCAGCATCCGTAGCGAGATTTCTTCAGCAGAACTTAATACAGCTCCCCGATGAGCTGGTGCACCGTCATAAATAAAAACCGTCTCGTTACCCGCCACATTTTGAGCACATTCATCTAGAAATACCTGAAACCGATCTCTGTTTGTGCCTCCTGTGTGCATTGAGTGATGCACAAGGCCAAATGTGGAAGACACTGCAAGAATAATGCTCATGTTGCGTCCTTTTTGTCCTGACACTTGGCGATATGCTCTATCTCCTCGAAGGGCTCTGCCTTGACTCCTCGCCGTCCAGACATTAAAACCGCATTCGTCAATAAACACGATTTGCCTCTGGATCGCTTCTCCCAAAAACCACGCTGCATAATCGCGTCTGCTTTGGATAACGTCAGGTCTGTTTCTTTCTGCAGGGCATCGCCGAACAAGTTTGAATGTGTATAGCATACCATTCAATACCTTACCAAATGTCCGTGAATGCATTCGGGGCTTATCAGGCAATCTTTCCTGAATCAATCGGTTTATGCCACGAAGAGTGAGAACAGGGTTCTCGTTCAGAATTTCTTCAATGCATTGCTTCATTTCATCACCAACTTTCCTGTGGTTGGGGCCGCCTCGTGGTCTTTCAGCTATCTGTCCTTCATGCAAATGTCGTCTGACTATCCCTCTCGCTGTCGAGCGGTTAACGCCGATGGTATCAGCAACAGAAAGATAATCTTGGGCTGGATCATTGAATGCTCTTATCAAGCACTCTGTATTTTCCAAACTCACACGTTGTCGTCTAGGTCCTGCTGCCATCATGTACAATATTGTATGTTAACTTTGACGACGTACTCAATTTTTATAGCGTTTTGAAATGTGTTACATCCTCACGGGAATAGAGTTGAAGACCGTACAGTCGAATTGTATGGTAACAGGTTAGTTAGCACATACAACGAGAGTGACATTCTTAAACGTGTAAATGAATATCCTTTTGTTCGTATTGACTGTTTAGTTATGCTTATTGAACTTGTAACACGTTCTACTATAGGGTCCAATATTCTATTTACCCCAAAATGGTGCCAATTTTCGTATTTTTAAACAAATTTGTCCAAAACTGAAAAAAACAGAAAAATTGTTGCTTAAAAACACCTTTTGTGCAAAAAAAAGAATGCAAATTTTCTTCTCTTGCTAAAACAACCAAATTTACCTAAAATTAACAACACATTTTATAGACTGTTCTGAAAAGGATCAAATAATGCAAAAGTAGCATGACAGCTAACAGTGAAAATATGTTGGTTTAACCAAAGGCATCTCTGATCAATTTATATTTGGAAACTATATCAATGTTTCGATTTATCGACACCATGTGAATGTTTCAGTTTATCGAGACCATGTGAAATGTGAATGTTTCGAGTTATCGAGACCAAGTCAATGTTTCGATTTATCTAGACCATGTGAATGTTTCGATTTATCGAGACCATGTGAATATTTCGATTTATCGAGACCAAGTCAATGTTTTGATTTATCGAGACTATGCATTGCCAATGTTTCGATTTATCGAGACCATGTCAATGTTTCGATTTATCGAGACTATGCCAATGTTTCGATTTATCGAGACCATGTCAATGTTTCGATTTATCGAGACCATGTCAATGTTTCGATTTATCGAAACCATCTTAGTGACATCTAACATAACCTAAATCAACACATTTTAGCAAAAAATAATATTCTATTCAATTTAGCATTATACACATACATAAATAGAAAATATATAAAGCACAATGTATTTAGGTGAAAACTATTATGCTCAATATCAAAATGATATATATTTAAATAAATTCACAAATAAACTATTAATAAGACTCAACCCCTTAATGAAATATAACCTTATACAGGGATGGATTTACTGGGGGGTGCAAACCCACCCACCCTAGCCCTGGCCAGAGGGGGGGTGGGGGGGGGGTGCTATATTTTATGATAAAGCAAAAAAGACAAAATGAGATACAGTAATTTGAGTAATAACATGAGGATAAGTGAACTGTGAACAACAATTACAATTCAAATAAAGTAGTTGATGGGCGGGCGGCACACATGACGACACAACTTGGCAGTCGGCACCCTGACCTTATATGCTGTTAGATAGAGTAATATAATGAAAGGGCAGTAGGCAAGTAGGGCACATTGAAGTTTTGTACTGTAATGCTCCTCAAAATGTAAGACAGTAAAGCTGGATGAATGTAAAATATCACATTTATTACCATTTAGACTGCAAATGGTAATGTAAATTAGCTGTGCCGAGCTCTGCACTTATTACATTACTCTGTCCAGTACAAGGTGACTTTACAGTGTTCTTTTTTTATATAAACAATACTAAAATGTTCTTCAACAATGAGTTCGTCATCTAGCATGCAGTGTCAGTATATATTTTCTTTTCCTTATGCAAGTCAAAGGCCACAAGAAATATACAACCTGGCAAACATCTGCCCAAGGTTAATTTTTATCAGCCAATGAAAAGACCATTTCTTGCTGATGATTCCTTTCCGATAATGAATCTTGAATGAAGATCATCTAGCGTCACCAATGAATGGTTTGTTACATATAGCCCTCGTCAACATAATCCTAAGGAGGAATTGATATTATTAATGAATGGTGATTATGGGAAGCACTACGTATTTTCATAAAGCACACAATGGTAATTCTACTTTTCGATTATATTTTAGTCATCCTCAGCAATGGATCAAATTAGACACATTGATAACAGTGCCTTGTATATATATACCCTAGTTGCAGTTAGCTTTTTCTTAATGATGCTATGCCTATTGATAGAACACCGATAATTCTCACAATGCTTTCATTAAAATTAAAATGCCCGGTCTCTCATTTCAACAAATCTGGGATCTGACCAACTGGGCTAATAGTTTGTGCTTCCTTACATGAACAAAATGTAATTTTCTATGCTAATATTATTATGGCTCATTTGAACAGGCCATACAAATCAGGTTAAAATGACCAAGGTACATATTTAATTTGAAGCTACATGTAGGGATTGCCCCTCAGTGCCCTCACCCCACTCCTCCATTGGCAATGCTTGGATGTGAAAAGCCTATTCTTTATAGACCATGTACAAACTTCTTCACATTCATAATTCAATATTTAATATTAAGTTCAATGACTTCAATCAAGTGAGATGCCCAAGAAATATTGTTATAAATATTACACTATCAAAAAGCTGTCAAGCGAAGAAAAAATGTTGTCTTTGTAAGAAATAAATCAGTTGCAGAGAGGCCAACATCCTGTGGAATTGTTACTGTATTTAACTCAACACAAAATTTTTCTCATGTATTTTTTACACGAGTTGTAAACCAGCAAAATAAAATTCCGTTACAATATACTCCTGAGATAATGAGATTGTACTCTCTCTTCCGGGGAAATAAATAGCAATTGTGTAGTACATACCTTGCTTGATTTAATCTTTAAGTATTCCTGCGTTGAGAAGCAATAAATATTCAAATATTCCGGCGATAAAGAAGCAAACGATTTGAATATTCGCAACTATGAAATATGGCGACAGGCAAGAGTCGCGGTGCGCAAAGCATGTTGGTACTATTTTTCCCGAACTCGAAGCGAGCTGTTTCGATTATGTCCTTTTATGGACATCGTCGTGTTTCGTTTCATAAACCGTTGGTTATTGTTCGTTCTTTGGCGCACAATATCTATAAATTTTGAATTCGAATCGCATTCAACGGCGTATATGAATATCAGCGTTTATATAATAGCTATACTATGGTAAATCTTTGTGAGGACAGTCCTTGGATATGAATAATGAACATGAATATTAAATATTTGACAAAATTAAAGCTAAACAGTCGATTCTGTCGAAAGATCAAATCGAAGGGAAGAGCGTTGAATATTTGCTGCCAAAGTCCATCTAGATCATGGTCAAGATAGTGCGAATTTCAGGTTGGTAGATTTGTTTGAACGTTTGAAGCGGTCCCAAGAATATTGTTTACATTTTTAAAATACATATCCCTTCTTGTCTGTTTTAACTGTACAACATAGGAATGATCATCACTTCTAGTCTTCAATATTCAGTGGTCATATGAACGTGTTTTTTTGACTGAGGCAATGGTTCACACTTCACATTGTTTACAGATACAATATAAGTATATGGCCCCTGTACATAAGCCCCCATCAAAAAGTCTTTACGAACGAATATAAGCCCAGGGCATATGTTCGGATGTTCACGGTATGCCATTATATATCTGATTCTGTTGTTTTCTTTGATTGGCAGTAAAAACTGTAATCATTTTAATGGTGTCTGTTCTTATAGTTTTTTCCATTCTTTTAGATTGATGTAAACCAAATGATATATCACTTTTGCATCATGCTGTAGTACATCAAACACAAAAGAACCGGGTTTAACCATAGAGGGTTCAGACCACCTGATAAAGGAGATTGACAGTAGCACAGCTATACAAGAAGGTATATAATCAGTACCATGTAATGTTTTGTAAAGATAAACTCTTTTGATGTATTACGTCGCTGCTGTGGGATCGGTTTATCTGCAGTGGTCTGTATGTTACTGGGTCCAAATGCATTGTCGTGAGAAAATTGCCTAAAGCAATATAGTTATAGGGCAGAAGAAACTCTTAAAACTGAATTTAGTTGTTACTACTGTATACTGTACTGTCTAATGAAGTGATTTTAGTCAATATAGATATATACATATGTTGTTGTTGTATATGTATAATTAATATAGCTAGCTATACTGTACACAGGGCTGCCTAGAGAATTAGTGGGGCCCGAGGCAAACCTTCCCTGGGGGCCCCCATGACATTATTATTTTTAAGCTAGACCCAACTAAACCTTAGCTAGAGGTAGACTGCATGTGGAGGTGCTGTAAGTGGCCCTCAATTTC